GCAGACGGTAAGGAGAATTACTAATGAGATCTTGGGAATTAAAGGGTTAACCTGAGAAAAGAGAAGAGAAACGATCCGCTGGCTTTCGTTTAAAAAGGTCTGTGGATACATCTTACGGTTTGCATGTGATATTTCATCCTCCTTACTCGTAATTTCATCCGTATGTGTTTCTTTCGGATACCGAAGGCATTTTCGCCCTTGATTTGATAAGAAAGTCGGAAGGACTGTTTTTTTTTGCATTAAAATGCGACAGCAGGCCCTTTTGAAAGTGATATTATGAGGTTTGCGTCATCCATAGACGGGTGGTCACTGTTTAAAAACAATCTTTGCGTGTTTCGGTTTAACCAGAATGTAAACACAGGTTTTAAGACGTTGCAAAATGTGACTGCGTGATTCTTTTGTCTTTAAACTTGCAAGGCCGTTTTAATGTCGGCGTTAACCTTTCCGAAATATCAAACAATGAAACGCTGTCCAACGAAAGAATTAGAGAAAATCCTTACATCAGAGGATTATCGACACAAACTTTTTAATTCTCTGTAATTCAGTGTCTCAAATCAGTGAGGCCTCAAGCTACAGTGTTGAAAATAAGCTTGCAAGCTTTCGCCGATGATATCGCCAACTGATACATGGATCAGACTCACTGGTACAACTATAATGCAACTGATAGGCAACATGCAATTGTTTGTGCCACTGTTTTCTCCATGGCTTAAACTGCACCGAAGCGGAAAACCCTTCACTTCGGAATTTTTTTTTTAACAATTTACTCGTTCCGTAGGAATGCTTTACCACACCAACACAAGCAAACATATCCTACGCTTTGTCATCCAATCTACCTATTTACAAGAATAGTGTTTGCGCAAAATTTATTGTATGCACTACTACCGACGCAAAGAATAACTGAAAATGAAATGCTTAATCTCGTTGAGCTGATCAAAAGTTCAACCATACTTGATAAATTCTCTTGTCGTAAAGAACTCAAATTATATAAAGCTATCTCAGATCGTGAGAGAAATTGGCATCCCTCGGTCATAGTTACAGGGAATTATCTCCTAGGTTGAAAAGTGCCTTGTTATATCAGCTCACATTCATTCCAACTCGATATCACTCTCAGAATTGGATTTTATAACAATTTCTCCATCATCCTGGCCGCACGTTTGACCTTCTGATATCTCGTTCAGTTCTAATCCTGCACGGTTTTCATTCTCATCACCGTCGTATTCGTGGGCGTCAACGCATTTTAAGCTTTGGAAATATTCGGCCACAGTACACGCCAGTCGTTTCGCCTCACTTTTTGTCTCGCACAAGAAGGCTTGCGTTAAGAAAACCTCGCTTTCTTCTCCCTCGAGATGATGATAATTGAACACCAGAATCTTTCGCCGTTTGCTGTCAACTCCGCAATAAATAATTCGGCTGAAATCATAAACAATCTTCGTACCTTGATCCTCGCCTTCGTTAAAGCAAAGTTCAAAGCAATTGTCCTTGATCTGTAAAGTTTGTTTTGGAAGCAATTTCTGCTTCAGTTTCGCCTTACAGTTCTCAAATATCTCCTCCACAGAACCGCAAATTCCTTCGCCAATAGGGCACAATATCTGCACGCTTCCGAGGTAGATAACTGAAAAATTGTCTTGCCGTTCACGCCTATCTCTTCGCCAAGAGAGGCTTATATTTCGTAGTGTCGAATACGCCATTCTGGTACGCCCAGGAATCAAATTGGAAAGCGAATATTGTCGTGCATTCCCGTGTTCCCACATCTGTAAGCCGAATAGCCTTCCTTAATCTTTAAGTAAATTCCGTCAACTAACGATATCAACTACTTTGACTGAAGTCGATTAACATGCAACGGGAACTGCGCAAACATAGCAGATACGAAAACAAAATATTTGTTTTATGATATTGTTACGAGTGATATATACGTCAATGGGACATCAAAACAGCTCCATCCAATTGGCTGTTTCTCTGTAAGTAAATGTTAAAAAAAAGAATAGTTTATACTCAGCACTGATAATTATCCTTCGCGGTAATCATTTCAGGAAGCACTATTTCAGTTAGCTATGGTGAATATGGAATGTTGTATTGTTTGCGCGCTAACAATCTTTCATGCGATTAGTCGACTGGCTTTGCAAGACACCATCTCCTGCTTTGCATCCTAATTACATAATTCAATTTCCTAAAATAAAGAGTTGGTCTTCATGGAATTCTGCGTTACGGATATACAAACAAAGGAAAGTTTTGAGAAGCTGTAAGCTTGTATCTATTTATGAATGATATTTTTAGTTCTTTAGCAAAGCTACAAACCTCTATAATCATGTATAGTCCCCTGTATAGCTTTTATTTAATTGGCCCCCTTAAAGAAACACTGCAGCAGAGAAGAATAACAAGGAGTCTTGAATTTTAGATTTTGATAACATCCGGTAGCTCCCAAGGAAAAACGCTTAGAGGAAAATGTGGTGATGTATGGTAAATAATACCACAGGCGGCCCAAGCTCCAGCTGTGGGATTATCATCTTGCGAAACAAGAGTCATGACGAAATTATAAGAGTTTGTATGGGAATATTTACGACCGCTCTTGGGAATGAAAAAATCAGTCAAATTCTCAATAAAAATACTCACCTTACTTCCACAGTGCATCGCTTGTTATCTGACCGCTTACTATGTTGAAAAGAACCCATTTTAGCGAGTTATCCATTTCTAGGTTTATTGTATAAGATCGGGCGTTCGGAAATGGAGTGTGCAGCCTTAGGCTTCTCTTATGATTTTGCCATGACTCTTATTTATTTCGCAAGATGATCATCTCACAGCTGGAGTTTGGGCCGCCTGTGATAAGACAAGGACAGTGGTACCATTCATAGGCCATAAAAAAGACACTGTGCTACATTTTAAGTCTTCTGAGATTTACAGGATGAAAATTGCCGACATGGCGAGTATAAAGCTTAGAATGATATTTTGTTAGGTTGGAAGGGGCAAGAATATGGACAGATGTAGGTAAAGAAGATTGAAATGACCGGGTTGAAAACTATTGCCAAACAAAAAAGAATGGAAACATAAATCAAAGCATGCGCGATGTGACCGTTAGTACGGTATCTCTGTGAAGCATGGCACCGGAGGGGGCAAGGATGGGGGGGGGGGGTGGAAAGGAGAATGTGGGGGTCTTAATCTTTCTAGATTTACACCTCCTGTGATTAAGCAAATCTATTACGTCGTCCCCCAAATTTGAGATTCATGTAACTTCACAAACGTTCATGTCTGACAATCCAAGAAGTTTCTCAGGGTAAGATTGGTAGTTAAACTGCCTTTAAACATAATTCTAAAAGATCTCACAGAGTAACGAATGCTGATGATTTATTTTGACGAATTGTATATTGTACTCGCCCAGCTTTGAAGTTTATAAAAATGTTGTCTTAATCTTAGCCAAGGGATAATTTTACAATTCAAAGCAATTTTACTCGACATTACAATGACAAATTGTTGAATCGTTACTAAAGCATTCATGTTTTTTTTTCTTTCATTAAATCTTAGCCCATCTCTTGAAATAAATTCAGCTTTGAGCTGTCCCATTTTTTCGTTTAACCTCTCCATGGTCTCAAAATAGGATAATCGGTTAAATATATTATCAACAAATTTACGATATCGATAGTTTTATCGTGGTTTTGCCTTTTGAGCGCAGCTCCTTGTTACAAGAAATTGGGTCGAGACGCGTGTTGCACCAAGGGTGAAAACGGGCCTTTAAGACTGAACACATCTTTATTTTCTGCTCAGTAGCTTCGTATTACAAGCTAATGTCAGTAAATAAGCAAGAGAACTATTTCCTCTTGCAGTAGGCTATGAATTTAAAGTGTTTCTGCACTTATATCAGAAACAAGAAGGTAAAATTAATTCTTTAAAACAAGCATGAAGCAAACTAGACGTAAAATGAAAACCTAAAATAAATGAAAATCAGGCTCATGAACTCCTTGCTTTATTCAACGCATGCGCAAGGATCGGGGATCCCCTGATGTCCTGTAAACTAAAAAAAAGTCTAACAGTGATATCCTAATCCATGATTCACTTAAATTTTCTTTCTTTGAGCTAAACAAAGCATTAACTTTTTCAATCTGCACACGAATAATTAAGAAAAAAGTAAATTCATGGCTTCTTGAATGAATAAACTAAAAACTCTAGCCTTCGAAAAAAGTCTAAATTGATTCTAAAATTAGCACAGCATAATACAATAGAAAAATGAATTGATAAATTCAATGCGATTAAGCAATTGAGGTTCAGAACGGTCTAATGAGAGATTTTGTTTACCGTTCCACAACTGTCTACTATCCATAGCATTGAATTATCGGAACCCAATATTGCTATTGGCCATAAAATGTTGTTTACTAAAATTTTTTCTGTGCATGCACAGCCGATTAGTCTTTACGAGCGCACAGCTTATTTCTGTTGCCTCTCCTTACTTAAGATTATTTCGAGTAACTAAATTAATGTCGTCTAAACATTAAACAAGGTTTTTCGCAGCTATGAACACCACTGAACTAGCCGATTAGTCTTTACGAGCGCACAGCTTATTTCTGTTGCCTATCCTAACTTAAGATTATTTCGAATAACTGAATTACTGTCGTCTATCCGACAAACAAGGTTTTTCGCAGCTGTAAACACTACTGAACTAGTAGTTGAAATAAGAACTAAAAAAATTCAGGCCCTTGCGGGATTTGAACCCATGACCTCTGCGATACCGGTGCAGCGCTCTACCGCAGAGGTCATGGGTTAAATTCCCGTACGAGCCTAAAATTTTTTTCACGTCTTATTTCAACTACTAGTTCAGTAGTGCTTATAGCTGCGAGGATCTCTTATATTCGTTTCTTCACCGCACTGCACATATATGATTTTCATATATCTACAATCATTATTTAAACAAGGTTTTGTTTTGAATTACCTCGTTGTATTTACGTCTGAAGAGAATGTTTGATACTTCTAACATCTATAACAATATTTGCGGCAACACAAAAGGCGATTGTGAAGAAAATGGCCCAGAAACTAATCTTGAGGTACTTTAACAATAAATGTCGATCTTTTTTATGCCCTCTGCCGTTCGTGAAATCCTTCACCAGCGTTACACCTTTCTTCTTGCAAATTTTCTCCACAGTTTCGGCGATTTCTGGCCTACCCACAAAGTAGCAGCAAGATTTCTTAGTTGTAGACTTGAGGGCTTTTTCAAAATCTATCCTTCCTTTAATGAGCTGAAACTGGCTTTCGGCTGCATTTTCTCCGCTCGTTTCTTCCTCTGGACTGGTGACATAAAAGCGGAAGTTTATGGAAGCAACATTCTTCTCTCTGATCTTTTCCAGGAGTTCGTCTATAGGTTTCCGAAGGAAATGGTACAACGCTTTACAGCGGACTGAGTAGAAGATATCGATCCTCTTCTCTTCTCTTATTTCGTTTCCTCTGAGACGCGCTTCTGTTTTGTGGGCTAGACAGCTCAGAACATCTAATACGTAGCCACAGCCAGACCCGGTTGCGAACAGAACGTAGTGAGAAGGCGAGGGCACGTTTGACACCAGCTGGTGGTACAACTTTGAGACAGATGAGCGATAAGGTCCCCACGTACGGAAAGTGACGTCTCCAGTACTATAGGCGAGCCAATGAGTCCAAGGGAGGCAGAGCTGGTCATCGTCCTCCATAATCGATATCACGAAACCAATGTCCCAGGTTGAATTTTTTGTCATGTTAGCAAAGGTGGTGAAGGGATGAGACCGTTGTGGCACTATTCCAGTGCTTCCTTTCGGTTGGTGCAGAAGATAGTAAACGTCGCCGACAGTATGTTTCACGTCTTTGTCGAGTTTGACATACAGAATAACGTAATCTTTACCAATGACTTCTTTTTGAAAAATTTGACCGTCGTGGCGTCGATAAAAGTAAATGGAGACCAACCTGTCAACGCACCAGATAATGAGTATTGGAAGGTTGGTAACATGGGCCAGTCCGTGAGTGATCTTCCGAATGTTGTCGATAGCGTACCAGATACCGGCAAAGATATGCAGGGCCATTGCCAAAGAGTAGCTTCTTTGATTGGCGTAGTTGGATCTGCTGAGGGGAAAGAAGAAGCAGAAAAGAACGATCATTAGCACAAAACGGTAGATCTCGTCTGAAGTTAGATGAACTCCTTTGTGGTCGTTAAAAGTCCAGCCTTCCACAGCTGCTGGGTCCCAGGGCTTCGTCCAGTTTAAGTGATCCGGAGACGTGCTATAATTAAAGGTGCTCGGTGGATAATATTTCAGCTCGGTTCCGTCAATTAGGGGTGGTACAAATATTATGAGAACATGGGCAAGGGACGGAACGGCAATCAGGAATATCCCAGCAAAAGTATGCATTCTTGAATGAACCTCGCGGATTCCATCCACAGTGATCCAGTTTGGAGTGACCTCACTGATGAAATTTGGCAAACACCACATCATCGTATAGAACATCAAGTTCTGAGAGGTTATAATCAGTCGAGCAGTGACAGCCCACACCACATTGGTTAAAGTTTCTCCTATGTTGGTTCCCCAGATGCGTTTTGGGAGTTTACCACTTCTTCCGAGCACCACATCACCATTGAATACAAAGTGATCCACGATACACAACGTTGTCACCAGCAGAAACACGGCCCAGACTATAGCTTCGTATGAAATGGAAAATCGCTTCCAACGTTGGCGGACGAGAGAGGTGGTCTTGTTGAAGGTCACCACTTGATCCACTTGACCGTCGGGAACTTCAATGAAAAATCCAGGTGATTGTTTTGAACTTTCGCCCCTTTTTGAAGGTTGCTCTGTTTCTTCATGGCCGTATTCCACCTCCTTTTAAAATGGAAAATGAAAAAAAACTATAATTAACATGATAAAACTGCGTGTGGTCTGAACGTTACCTCAATGACATGTGCTAGCGAAACGGGTCACTCTTTATCCCACTCAGAAAATATCTGAGAAGACGTTGTAGAATAAAATATTATTTTATCTTGATTCATGAATAACGCTTGAATCTTTTTTAGCCCCAGACCTGCGCTACACAAAAAGTTTTTCCTCAAAAAAAGTGCAAGGTTGAAGTCTATTCTGAGCTAAGTTTAACGATAATGTCTCTGGATATTTAAGACATGATTTTATCACAAACTTTGGTGAATCCCTTAGAGAGGTTAAATTCTTTCTTTTTTTTTCCATTCTTGACTTTAAAATCACCGATGCTTGTTTGAAGCTTTTAGTACAAGTGTCTCACCTTTAAATCCTCTTTGCCTTTGCCTGGGGTGCTAAGAGGCTGAAAAACTTTTCTTCCTTGTAATTGTGTGTCATCCATCCCACTGCTTCAGACATATAATATATAAATAAATATTTTCCTATGTGTTTCTTTTTCTTTTAATCTTTACCGTTGGCAATGAATAATGAAATGATCTCCTCTCACTTACAAGTGAACTAAATTTGGAGAAAATCCCAAGAAAGAAGTGGCCTGAAAATATTCATACACCGACAAGATTCGAACCCGTGGCAGCAGGTGCCCAATTAGTATCTAGGGGGAAACTGAGCCCTGCAACTGCATTTTGAGAGGGAAGTAACTCTGTTGATCGATCTGATTTGAAATAGGCACTTAATCAAACTCTCAGAAGACAAATTGTGACGTGAGGGCAGAGACAAAATTTGACGAAATTTTTAAATTTTCTGAGCTTCGGAAATGATCTCCCGATGGTAACAAAAGTTAAGTCAGAGAAAATCCAGAAAACTCTCACCTGTTCGGTAATTGAGAAGGAGAGCTGTCCTTCAGTGATGCTTCCTTATGTGGATCTGTAGGAATATTTTGAGGTAAAGCAGAAGTCTTAGCTTCCGATAAATGAGGGAGAAGGACCTATTAATGAAGCTATTGCTGCGCTGTACTACGATATAACGGAATCTTCCCTTTAACCCTTTAACTCCCAAGATCTCATAAGTAATTCTCCTTACTGTCTGCCAAATGATTCTCATTATGTTAGTTTGGAGAATTTGGTATCGGATCAATCAGTAATCCCATAAATGATATTTTTCTATATTCTCATTACTTGTCTGCATGATATTTTATAGATATAGTAAGGAGAAATTCTGTCTCGGTCACTCACGGTATTCAAAGGGTTAAAGTTCAGTTATCGTATGTGGTCGGATTTTCAGGGATACACATTGACTCAACAGGGAGAGCTAAAGAGCGTCTCTCAGGGTCTGCACGGAACGGAAATGCTTCAGCAAAGTTTGAATGCAGATTTGACTCTCTCGGTTACTACCATGTGCATATCATTTGCCAAGTCAGGTCTAACAAAATAAATTACCAATTTCAGCATCATGGAGGAACTTTGACCAATTGCAGACTTCAGGATTGTCATGATCGCGGTAAAAACTCAGAATTTCTTCCACTTGTTCATCAGTTAGAAGATCCTGAAATGCATCCGTGAAAACTTTTTTGAAATCACTGGGGCTGACATTTCCCGTCCTCAGCGGATCATATTCATGGAAATGGTCTTCTACCTTTAAATGAAAACTGAATATCAGTGGATGATTCACGTCCCGTAACGAACATGTTGAGCATGCGCGCACATTTACCGGAGCACTGCACTGATATCGCTGAGGTCATGGGCTCAAATCCCGTAAAGGTGAGTTTTTTTTTTCCAGGCGCTATTTTCACTGCTGCTCAGGTAATGTTCATTACTGCGAAGATTGCTTCATAATCACTTCTTTATCCGCAGTTCACATGTACAATTTTCATTTATTTACAGTCATTTATACATCAAATGTTTGTTAAACACGACAACAGAAGCAATCTCAACACGTCAATTGATCAGTACCACTATAACAAGTTGTTAGGGCATACACCCTCAGTCAACTGGATGTTTGAACCAAGTCAATTACTTTTCTTTTTCGTGCTACTAGACAATAACCACTCCTTTCCGCGTTAATAATGCGTTATTCTGAAATCGAAACACAATGGCTGGTAAACGCGCCTTTCTAGGTATTGCAAAAGACACAAGGAAGACGATCGACAAATAAAGTATTTTTAATTTTCATTTGGCTCTGTTTGTGTCGTTGAACTTGTTCATGCCTTGATCAGGCAATAAACCATTCGAATTTCAATGTTTCTATTTGAAAATGTTAAAATCACTTCGAACGTTTTGTTCAAAGACAATTATTTCTTTCAATCTCGATAAAAAGTACCACAATATTCAATTCAATTTTAAAGCATCTAACGCTGAAAATAAAGCATGATGGAGTCTCTACAATACAGTGCAGTCTGGAATTGTCTTACTAATTTTATCCTCTCAGCGTTTCAAAAATTCCGTTGGACGAAAATGTGCCAAAATAGAGAAAGATGTTTTTCGTCTTGTCAACTCAGAAATTTTTCTCTTTGTCCCACGCTCTCCCCAGTCTTTTTTTCTTTGTCCCACGCTCGTGACATGACAAAAAACATCTTTCTCTATTTCTATGCCGAGCTCAAAACTTACCATTTCTCTTATTCTGTTTGCAAATCACGGTGTTAAAATGTAGGAAAAGCGTCCGCGAACTTCTCAACTTTTACTCAAGACAGTAATAAATTTATGAATGGCAATGATAATTAGCACAAAAAGTTTCAGAAACTCACCATAACTCCCTTTTCCCGAACAAATTTCCTGACTTTATCCATCAGTTCTTCAAATTGCGGAAACTCTAAACTTGAACAAGACGTTGCCTCCGATGACTGTTGGCTGCAATGAGGTTTTTTTTATTATTTAATCAATTAACATATATATTGAATATTATGATGGACTGGTACATGGACGATTCTGCTATGAGAAGGTCTGCTTTTGGCCATTTTGCGGCTAACGGTTAATTTCTTTCCGTTACGGTTAAAACAAAAATGTTTAAAATAAACTTTTTTTTCACGACTAACAGTTAAAATTTGTCAATTTTTACGCCTAAAGACTATATTTTTTTGCCGTGTTAAGGCTAACAGTTAAACCAGTTGAGACCCTTCTGATGACAATAGGACTGAAGGACTATTCTTTCGACAAAAAAACGTTTTAACTATTTCCCTAAAACAACGACACTTTTCTTTTATAACTTGGTAAATATATTTCGTTTTCGAATCGTTTATTCTTTAAAGTACAAATTTGCAACGACTGTTATACTAACGTGACTTGCAAGCCAAGCTCGCACTGTTTACACAGAGGAGGAATGGTTCAAAGCTCTTCATAGCACGAAATACAAAACGAAATAGCCTACAGCCCAAAAAGGGAATATATATGATGCATTCAGTCAAAATCGCTTTTGATCACAATTAAGGAAAAATTATACTTACTTTCCAATGCCTGTAGACGTATCCGAGATATCAGCGAGATTGATGAATCCTGTTAATTCAGTGAGAAACTTCATTATTCGCATACACTTGCACCGTCAAATATATGTATATATATATAAAGCTCAAGCCTATACGTCGAAAACATAAAATATGAAAACATGTACTACTTACCACCTTCGAAAGACATGGCGGTAACTCAGCAGTCTGAGGTAACTGGTATTAAGTTGTTCACAAATCTGTGTAAATGTAACATTAAATGTACTTATTGACTGAACGGGAGGGCCTGAAGGGAAAATGTTTGGCTGAGATTTACGTTTACCAAAAATGCAACTTAGCGGTGAGTGTGCGGAGCCGGACGCCTTTTTCTAGACCGGCTCACGGCAACCCGTCTGGTTGACATGTACAAGACCTTGTAGTCGGTCAGTGAAAAAAACGTTCTGCCCTGCACACCCACGGCTCCGTTGCACTTTCCGAGAACATAAATACTAAATTTTCAATCAATGTTTGTAAGATCCAAGTGTAACATTTTTTCTATTATTCGTTCTTGCGTAATTTGTTTTTCCTTTGCGTACGCAAATTAGTTTAGTCTTTTTTTTGGCGTTAATTTAAGTGTTTATTCCTTTCTGTCAGTTTTCGCGCCCTCGTTAGCGTTTCTGTGCTGTTTCATCTTCATTAGCGCCTTTCTAAGTTTCTATAGTTTTATTTTCCGCATGTTCTAGCGTATTTTTCATATCGTAGTTTTGCAGTACAGTTTTGGGCAGTTCATTTTGGTCCGCGCTTAGCGCAGTTCTTTTTAGTTTCTTGCAAGTCTCTTCGCGTTATTCGCAGTCCGCTTTACAGCAGTTTTCTCTGGCCGAAACAATGTAAGTGTACTTCACAGTCCTCGTTTTGCAGTTTTGTTATTTCCTTACTCTAATTTACCTTAGTCGCAACTTGTAACTTTTTTGCTTTTTTACCGTTTTAGTTTCAACCCACGCTGTTTGTATGCACACTCTTAGTACCAAGCACGTCGGCTACAATAAATCTTCATTCGAACTTGGTTTGTGGTGTTGTTATTAAAGGCCAGGAGACTTACACGCTTATTGCAGTTTCAATGTTTTAATTTCATTTGACTGATCGTTTAAGTCTTTCTTTCTTTGCCAGTCCAGCAAGGTCAATTTATCGATTAGACGTGCAGTCACGTCACTTAACTCATGATTAAGATTGATGTACAACGGGATATGTGTGCATATTTAAACATAAAACTTTCTAGTCATATAATTTGCGTCTCAGTAAGATTGTATAGGAAACAACATTTGAATAAAGAGGTATGCCCCTATGACCAGCCATGTCTGACCATCGATTTTCATGCAGTGTTACACGTTTTTCAGTTTGAATAATAAGTATATTCAATCAAAACTTTTCAAGAAGAGAGTTTTCAAACGAACAATGTATTTTTTCCTTTTTTCATAGCTAGCCGCTGGAAATGGAGTCATTTAACAACAGCGGCGAGTGATGCTTTTTGTAACAAAATTTTGTTTGGTATAGAGGGCCAGCAAAGAGAGATTCCAACAGGACACAAAACAAATAAAAATGAACGAACAAAACAGACAAAAGAAAATGAAACATCTCGGGAATTCTAGATATTGTTCGTGATTTGACAGGAGGGAGGGACATGCCCCTGTGACCAGCCATGTCTGACCATCGATTTTCATGCAGTGTTACACGTTTTTCAGTTTGAATAATAAGTATATTCAATCAAAACTTTTCAAGAAGAGAGTTTTCAAACGAACAATGTATTTTTTCCTTTTTTCATAGCTAGCCGCTGGAAATGGAGTCATTTAACAACAGCGGCGAGTGATGCTTTTTGTAACAAAATTTTGTTTGGTATAGAGGGCCAGCAAAGAGAGATTCCAACAGGACACAAAACAAATAGAAATGAACGAACAAAACAGACAAAAGAAAATGAAACTTCTCGGAAATTCTAGATATTGTTCGTGATTTGACAGGAGGGAGGGACATGCCCCTGTGACCAGCCATGTCTGACCACCGATTTTCATGCAGTGTTACACGTTTTTCAGTTTGAATAATAAGTATATTCAATCAAAACTTTTCAAGAAGAGAGTTTTCAAACGAACAATGTATTTTTCCTTTTTTCATAGCTAGCCGCTGGAAATGGAGTCATTTAACAACAGCGGCGAGTGATACTTTTTGTAACAAAATTTTGTTTGGTATAGAGGGCCAGCAAAGAGAGATTCCAACAGGACACAAAACAAATAGAAATGAACGAACAAAACAGACAAAAGAAAATGAAACATCTCGGGAATTCTAGATATTGTTCGTGATTTGACAGGAGGGAGGGACATGCCCCTGTGACCAGCCATGTCTGACCATCGATTTTCATGCAGTGTTACACGTTTTTCAGTTTGAATAATAAGTATATTCAATCAAAACTTTTCAAGAAGAGAGTTTTCAAACGAACAATGTATTTTTCCTTTTTTCATAGCTAGCCGCTGGAAATGGAGTCATTTAACAACAGCGGCGACTGATACTTTTTGTAACAAAATTTTGTTTGGTATAGAGGGCCAGCAAAGAGAGATTCCAACAGGACACAAAACAAATAGAAATGAACGAACAAAACAGACAAAAGAAAATGAAACATCTCGGGAATTCTAGATATTGTTCGTGATTTGACGATGTCGTAAATGAGTGCCGATCATGCGAGTCTCCTTGAGGTTAACCGATATATAGCCTTAAGACGGCCTGAAAATTTAGCCGTTAGATTTAAAAACGACGAATTTTAACTGATAGTCGTAAAAGAAGTTAACCATAAAAAAATTCTAATGATTAGAACGAACAAATATATTTACTGTTAACCGCAAAATTGTCGAAATTTTAACCTTTAGCCGTAAAAGCCATCTAGCCATTGAGACCATTGGCTCCAGGCTGCCTACTGTTTGTAGAAGAATGACACACGTTAATTGTTCGTCTCTTGGACGAGCATATTTTTTTCCTAAAGTCTATCAACAGCGTTAATTGCTCCAACCTTTATCGTCTCTTGGACCATTGGCTCCAGGCATAAAGTTTTTCACCTTGAAGCGATAACACACGTTAATTGCTCTATCCAACAGAGCGAGGCTCTAAATCTATCCAACAGCGAGGCCAAATTGCGAGGCCAAATTGCCAAAATTTTGACCTTTAGCCGTAAAAGCCATCTAGCCATTGAGACCATTGGCTCCAGGCTGCCTACTGTTTGTAGAAGAGTGTGTTCACCTTGAAGCGATAACACACGTTAATTGCTCCACTTTATCGTCTTTTGGACGAGAGCATAAGTTTTTTTCTCTAAAGGAAGTCTATCCAACAGCGAGGAGAAAATATCTTTAAAATTTTTTGTGTGATAAACGTGGCTCTTAACCGCTCAGTTCCACACACATCGATAGAGAATGGGAAGCATCTTATTTTGCTGTAATATTCAGTTGTCAGAAGGAATCTCTTTCGTTAAAGGAAAGCGTATCTAGCCATTGAGACCACTGGCTCCAGACTGCCTATTGGTTGTAGAAGAGCGTGTTGACCTTGACGCATTAACACACGTTAATTGCTCCACTTCATCGTCTCTTGGACGCGAGCATAAGTTTTTTTTTGACCTCTCACCTGCATGACACGGCTAAACAATAGCCGCGAAAGAGACTATTCTTCAAGTGAGACACGGGAAAATGACTTCATCTGTTAACTATTAATGTTTCCAAGAATTCGTTTTGTTTTCCATATATCTTAGTAAGGTATATCTTGACAATTTTAGGAATCAATTTTTTTGGAATTTTTGGAATCGAAACTAAGCGTTTACTACTCTACTAGATATTACCTAGGGACACTGGACACCACTAAGTATCCTAGCGACCGATTGCAGATTCATCAAGACAAGTTGACCGGCTTTATCAAACCTGTTTTGATCGCATGAGCTAAACGCACAGTTGAATAAAAACGTGATGGCGCTTCCACAAACTGTGGGCTTCAAAGCAGAAGCAGTCGATGAAGAAAGGGTTTGGTGTGCGTGCACTGTTGAAGAAGTAGACGATGATTACGTGATCGCTTCCTTTGACGGCTGGAATGCGGAGTAGAATCGCCGCGTCTGTGATCCACGAGAGATTAGGGATCGATTGCCTAATCGGAAAAGAAAGCGAAGAAACCTTTCCCTTCAGCGAACAATGTCTTCGCTTTAAGAAGACCGACTTTTACTTTTAAATATAACCCAAACTTATGTAAACAAAAAGCTCAAATTACGGTTCGCTTCAATTTTAGGCGTAAATTTGCATAATCTTTCATGGACGAAATCTTTATGACTTTCAAAGATCAAAACTATTTTCTAAAGTACATCTGCTTTATCTTTATCCACTTAGCAAACAAAGCTTTCCAGATTACAGTCAAAACACCAGACGTAGTTCACTTCGAATTTCTCGATCTATCCTAGTTTCTCAGACCGCATCCAAACAGGTTTTACTACACACTTCCATCTAAGACTCCCAGTGGAACTTGACGTAAAATACGTCACGCGTTACTAGGTAACAGTGCTCATACATATGCACAAACCCCACTCAAATGGGTTCGCAGAATTACATATTTTGTTCGTGTTGAAGTCGTCATGAGTATCAGCAGGGAGGCACTGAATAAAGCATCTTGTTTACGCATGTTAGTTTACGCTTCTCTGCTTCTGTTCATGTTTATCAAGTAGTTTATCCGTTCTTGTGTGGAACGTGTCAAAGAAGTGTAACGGTCAAAGAAGAGAAAATAGAAAGTTGCAAATGTATTTTTCTTTCAATCTCACCTTTGTGCTTCTCCAGTTTTAGGGCAGATCGAATTAGTAGTATGGCATCCATTGTATGATGAAAAATTAAATAACAATTCATGGTTACTTCCAATAGATGCTTGAACGTGACTTTGCTAAGTTCTACAACATTCGTTGATGGCACAAAGATTCTTAAAAAAAAAATTGCATGGGTGGGGCTGCGTAAACGTAATTTTTGCCTGGGAGGCATAAGGCGAGCATTCTAGGCGGCTGTACACGTGCAAACGCAGACTTTGAGATCAAATAATTACTATTTCTTGATCTAGAAACTTAAGCAGGCGATAGTATAGCAAAATAAAATGGCTTCGAATTCACTGGAGACCAGATATACTGATGTGGAGAAGAACCGAAAGAACAGCTACTAGACTCGCCTCTATAGCTTCCTGAGAAATTTCCATACTATCTGGCGCAGAAGCGACACAGATTTACCGAAACTGTCATCACTGAGGAAGCCATGTGACACGGCGAAGGTACAAGGAAATCGTCGATCATAACCATTTGATGAAACAAACACTGAACGCGCTTGCCACTTCAAACTACAAGGAAATTTCACTCGGCATTCATCTTTACAGCGTCCATATCTCAAGAAGCTAGAATTTTCGCAACTGTTGAAATTTTTCTGAACTTTGCATGTTTCGCGATAGTTTTTCTAGTTTTAGTTTTGTTGACAAGGTAGTTGATTACATCAATTTCCATAGTGTTTGTCACTTCGCTTGATTGTTCATACTTGGAAACGATCGATTCTGTAACACATCTTCCTTCGACGGAAGCAACACCCATATACAGTATACTTAAGTAACTGACTTTCTCCATTTTCTCAAAGTTTTCAGCCATTATAGGAACAAACATGGGCTTTGTTGGAGTAAGTTGGACATTTAGAATATAAATATACAGTCCTCCTAAGCTTACGATATCTCAATTCTGAAATAAATTATACTTGGTATTCAATGACCTATCATTGTTCGTGGTAAGCGATGACTAATCCGTTAAAAAAAAAGTTTTTTTAAGAAAATGTCACTTTAAAATTATAGGTCGTCTTAAAAGGAGGTTAAAAAAAACGATTTTTTAAAGGTAATGAAGTATGAAAATATTGAAATGTGACTAACCTAGGGCTACCTCTCTCGATCTTTTCCCTGTCGTGTTCAAGACAACCACTGAACGAAATGTAATATAGAACGTGGAAGTCACTGAATATATATGCAAGAAGGCGGACACGAACAAAATAAATTTTGGTCAGGTGATTATTTATGTTTCAGCGTTTCGGTGACCTCAGGCTTATTACTGCATGTTGCTACGTAGGCAAAATTTAAAAATAGCTTGTTTTTCTGCAATTAAAGAGTCTTTTATAACATAGTAATGTGAATGATACACGTGATAAGAGAAATGGTTTTGATTTCGTAGACTAAATATTTCTTCGAATTGCACTTCCAAGGAGTTCTGGCAATTTCTTAACAATTCCGAAAAATATCTGTATCTGTAAAAATCAACAGGAAGTATTTAATGTACTAAGTTGACCGTTATGTGACACTTTTCAGTTTACTCAGTAAACTTGAGAGGTTGTCAAACCAATGGCTGTCGCCTGAGGTATGTTAGCAATGTCTAGAAGCCAATTGATCCGTTGAAAGTGAAAATAACAATCCTCCTCTATCAGTGCTACTCAACACGATAAAACTCAGTTCTTTCTGAAAATCTTCTTTTAGCGTGATGAGAACAGCTTTGTAAAATGAGTACTCAAGATAGGCTGTGTTAGTGATTACAGATAAGAAAGACAACATTCCATTGAAAATTAAATCATGAGACTGAATAATAGAGAAGAACAACAGAACAATGATATAACGTCACATCCCCCAATATCACACCAAACTTGTACAAAATTCTCTGAAAGCAATCTTGGAGAGACTTCATTTATCCTTATCTGTTAAACTGATTTGAAGAAGAAAAAAAAGAAGAAACAGCTTAAATTATGCTAAACTTTTGAACCCTCATTACCTTTTGAAGCTTAAATTCACTTATTTACATAATTACTGCACTTCTACAGGGCGGCACTCCTGTAGGAAGAATCAATTGTATATCTTATTATGTTTTGCGCTAAGATTTCGCGTGGTTAAAAATGAAACCTTAACCCTAACCCTGGATAATGATTTGCGAGCTCACCATAAATTCAAACAACCTAGATGACCAAAAATATGCGATCATAGCTGGATGAAATAAGCTCTACGTGAGCTGATTATGAAATAATGAAAACAAAATATCATTAAAACATTTTCCGTGATTTATGAGCGTCAACTGCACCGATTTCAATGAGTTTTTGTCTCCGTCAAGTTTGATGGCGTAATAACGCCTGCCTTCCTTGAGAGATTTTGAAAAATGTGCTCACAAGGTGTGAAATCTTTTCAGGGAAGTTAGTTCGTGTTGTAATGCGGAGGAATAGAGAATCTTTTAATAGTTTAGCTGTACAGCGGCTTTATGGTCCTGTAGTTGATGCAAGAATGACGAATTTCTATCATGTTCGTTGATATACACTGTACCATCAACCTATAGGTGCTTTCCTAAACCAGCCTTCACGCAACCCGCTCAGTTGAAAAGACAGACGCCGGAAAACATATTATTCATATTTCTAAGTGCATGTAGAAAGCAAGCTCGGAGGTACGCTGACTTCACCAAGAAAACTGCCGAACTAATTTGTATTATGGAAAGATATTGTAAAAAATATTGTAAATTCGTGTGTTCGGTAGTTCCTTTCAACATCAGCAAAGATAAACGTGACTCAGTGAACGTCGAATAAGCATTTTCCGTTTTAGCGATACGGCCAATGAACGTTGAACTAGGAACTACGACTTTCTGTTTATGCCCAAGTTCATATCCTTCATCAAAATGATTTTGAAATATTAAAATGTCAACGTCTGCATGGTGATAATTAGATCTGATATAGTTGGAACTGATACCCTATGAATCATTTACAGTTCCTTTGTGCTGACGGTTAAAAACAAATTTAAATTAAACCATTTTCGACAATAACTTAGAATTATCATATGTAGCGTTTATGAGCTATATAGAAATTTCGAACAATAATAATGATTTAGTTTACAAATCATCCCACAGTTATCAAATTTCGACTAGCCCGGTTTCTCAAATATTACTTTGATTTTAAATTGTTTTGAACGTCAGGTCATTCTATTTATGGAAGGTAAAAATTGCTAGTTCCCGTTCAGTTAGAGTTATCGACACAAATTGAGTTGTTCCTTAAAGGAACCAGTTTTCGTAATTATAAGACATTTTTTCCTACGTATCTGTATGGTGCAAGGAATAAACACTTATCACCTCTCACGTTCGAACAAAGTTGAAGAATATGGCAAACCTACAACAATGACCTCGTACATAAAGTCTTCCTGTATTTTGGAGAAAAAATTTGAATAAGATGTCTAGAAAAACAATTAATTTTGACCTCTACCAAAAACTTTTGAAAGCGACACAAATGGTGTTATTGTAAAGAGGAGCAAAAACACTTCAGATCCCATTATCTTTCATTGCTACTGATTTCTTAGAAAAGCAAACTTCTTTTCTTTTATAGAAGGGGCAAAATTACATTTTTTACATGCTGTGAAATGTTGTGGGAACCTTCACTTTATTTCTTTTTTTATTTTAACAATAAATCCGCATAGCTTGAATACCTTTACACCTTGAATGCGTAGTTTTGCTTTGTTTAAAACTTTCTGTGGACAAAAGATTTCATGACGCAAAAAAAAATTCCACTTCTGAGCTAACCTCGTAGTCACGATTTCATTTCCCTAACCAGCAGTAGTCACGATTTCATTTCCCTTAGGGAAATGCACATTTGTGGTGCGCATTGAAATAAACTCAAACTGCACTCAGTGGAACTGACTCAATTTGGTCGACGCGGAAGTAAATTTAACTTCTATTTCCATCCAAAAAAAGATATAAGTAAAGCAACGAAGTGAAAAGGTATGAAGCTGCGAGTGAAAAGAATTGTCTGCTTGTTGACGGTGTGAAAACTCACAATGCGTCTAAGTTCTCCCTCATAGCTTCTGACCCAGTAGAGGTATAATACCGAGGATGATTGAGCTCGACAAATTTTTCAAATTTCATAGTTTCCGTGACGTTGAAATTTTAGAGTACAGACAACTCTATCAACAGGCTTTGCTCCAGGAGAGCGAGGAATTCGGCAAAACACGCATCTAATCTTTTTTATAAAAGTAAATTAAACAGCAAAAGGAATTGAACAAGTTTAACTTAAATGTTAAATTTCTTTAATTGTTTAGTTTACTTTGAAATAGTCATACTAAATGGAAATAATTCAGAGTCACACGCAATGCCATTGAAGATAAATCTTAGGAACAGGAACTCTTCGATGTCCTTGAAAATATCCAAGTGGCGGTACTTATCATGACATCAAGGGAATTTTATGTATTAAAATAACAAAATACCTTTTCTTCCGTAACTCCGTAATCTACGCTTTATAGACTGTCGCAATATAAATCTATTTATCGTACCCATAAAATATATTTTTAAGTCTTCAAAATCAAGCCTCAAAAAGGAAAGCAAAAAGAGAGAACTCGTGCTCAGACCTTATTCAACATCAGGGGAAAAAACCGATTTTTTGGCAGTTCAGATATGTATTTTTCCTAATTTCAAGACAACTCTACCCAGTTGACAAACCTCGCTAAATGCAGGAGTAAAAAACATTTATTCCATCACTTCCTTGCCTGCATCCAGCAATTTCCACGCAAAAGTATGAAAATGTTTTTGGAAAAATATTTTTCCTTTAGGAAGGTCCTTCACCCTTTTTAAGTTTAAATGGATATTTTTGCGAGAAACACGCAGATTTAAAAATGGATTTTTGTGATTCCCGATTCTTAAAGAGAACTATTATATTAAAAATATAGCTCACCTTCGCACTCCTTCTCACTTCAGCCGATTGGACTGTTGCTAGAATGACTGACCCGTGATTTGGGTTAGAGCTGAGAGATCTTCTGTGATATATGGGCCCGATGCAGAATATGAATTAGTCACCAGATACAAAAATGTAACCCAGAGCTATAATTAGATACTGCGATGCACAAAAAAGGCTTTCAGTGGGCTTTCAGTGGTTGAGACGTTCAAAACAAATCACGAGTTATGGGCAAATATCACGCAAATATCATGAACCAGCTGACGCAAGCAGAGCGCTTAGTTTACAGCTGCAGGGAACCTTTAAGTGTTCAGTTGACAGGAAAGTTCTAAATTTACTGGAGCCCAATACACACGTGCGCGTATAAGCGTTGAGTGCAAAATGTCTTAGCTTTGTAGATCAGCTTAATTTAACGATTGGCATCGCTCCTTATTCATATATTTATGCGACCTAGGGAGGTCTGGGAATAAAACGCTGGTTATTGAAGCGAGGGCCAAATGGTTTTTTGCAAGAACTAGTTTATGTCTAAAACTCCAAAACATGGAGAGGAAAAAAATTTTTTTCATTTGTGTGGCTTAAAAGCGGGGTGTCTCAACCGGACGGATGTGGTGTCGTAAAGGAGGTTGTTGTTTTTTTAGTAACTCACCAAAACAAGTAAAATTTTAATAAGGAAATCAAACGAGATTCTAGCGATGCGATTGATAAAATCGAACAGCAGCGAGCGCAGAAGGGTCAAGGGAAAAGCGAATGAGAAGCGAAAAATGTTGTACTCCCCATTTTTATTACGCATTTCAGCGATTGTCAATACTGCCGGTTATTTGAGGCAGTGGTGGGTAGGGTTGTTATCAGAGAAGCCAGTGCGAGATAAAATAATTAGGAAAAATGACAAGACATCAAACACAAGGCGAAAAATCGTTTTTATTGTTACAATTTTTTGTATACGACCACACAGTTGTATCAGTAAGCTTCACACTGTTCCTCGATGAAATATACAAATTTTCCTGTTATTACTCTGGCCTGTTACATTAAATAATCCTTACAAACATAAAAAAATATCCGGAATAGGAAAAGGAAGAGGAAAACTGATGGAGTATTTTAAACTCATACGTTGAATAAAGAAAGATGCTCATCCAGGGTTTAGAGCATGGGACAAAAAAATAACTTTGAGTTCCTTTCGAGAACTCAAAGCTCAGAATCTCGGATTATTTGTCCCAGTGAGGTACAGAGAAAGCGTTAATGAGCTGA